AACAACAACAACAACAGGAAGAGGCCGTGCTGCAGTTCCTGTGCGGAGATCATCAAAGTCTCCATCTAAACAACGTTCACTTTCACAGAAACGACGAAAAACACCAACACCAACACGTACGAGAAAGCCACCACGCACATTTGTGAAACATGGGGCATCGTCATTAGGTGTTGGGAAAAACAAAAACAACAAAACAAACAGCAGTACGAATGTAAATAACGCCCTCTCTCTACAAGGAACAGCAACAGCAACAGCAACAACAAAAGCAGCAACCACAACTGTAGAAGGAAGAGGAGAAGGAAGTTCTGCGGTTACTAATGTATCTGCTGATGTGAGTGAGAAGAAACCGGCGTATTGTCTTGCCACTGCCGTCTCTACTGTTATCGTTCCGCCCGCCGCCAACTCTCTGCTTGAGGGGATGAAACAAACACTCACACCATCTGTGCAGAAACCAAACGACGGGGGTGCGGGTGTGAACAGTCGCAGTGGCAATGAGAACAGCAATCATCATCACAATAACAATAACAACAACAACTCCAGTGAAGGGCGAGAACCCGTTTCGCAAATGGAGGAGTTTTACACCTCTAAGCGAGGTCCACTCTTTGCCACTGCCGTCATTGCGGGAACGAATGCGGTGAAGCAAACCTCTCAATTGATTCCATTCTGTCATCCCATGCGTATTCAAAAGTGTTCCTTTACATTCAGACGCCGTGTGGTCTCCTCCCTTCACCGCACATCTGCACTTCCACACCGTGTGGTGCTGCGCAAACGCACGAGTCCCCCGCCGCCGCCGAGTCGTGCCCGCGGCGAGTGGAGTGTGTTGTATTGTTTCTGCACCGTCGCGACCGATGATGTGAAGGTCGGTGTGGAGATGGAGGCCCTCACCGGCGCCAACGTCGCCGCCCTCACGCTGTACGACATGCTGAAGGGACTGCCGGGCTCGCAGGAGGACGGCTTGAGTGTTGGCGAGTCGTTTGTGCTCGCCCGCCGCGGTGGGAGGAATGACTTCACAAAGTTACTCATGTCAGAGCCAGAAGGGGGAGTGGCGCAATTAACACAGGGAGAAAACACAAGGGCTAATCCAGTAACTTCATCTTCATTATCTTCATCATCAGCTGCGGCTGTAGTGGATGAGGAGGCAGTAACAACGAGGGAAACAACAACATCATCATCATCAGGAGATGATCATCAGAGCAACAATAATGGCAATCATAATAGTAATAATAGTGGTAATAGTAATAGTAGTAATAGTAGTAGTAGTAGTAGTAGTAGTATTGATGAACATCTAGTACGGGTAGTTCAACAGAAACAAGTTCCACCAAAAGGGATTACCGACCCAACGAACAAAACGACTGTAGAGGCTAATAACTCAAATATAGCGAATGAGAGAGAAGAGATGGAAGAGAATAAAGGGGCATGGTGGAAATCTACACCACGTGAAAAGCAATTGCAGCAATTACACCCACGTAGAAGATACGAAACAGAAGGATCCTCTCCTGCTGAAGTTGTGACCCCTATTCGCAATGATAAACATCCAAAAACAACAACCCCTACTAAGACTGCTGGTAGCGTTAGTAAAATGAAACTAAAGTCAAAGGCAAAACTAAAAGGAAAAAATATGAAGAAACAGAAGAAACAAGTAGTAGCTTCTCCAGCGAAGAAACATAAAGCGGGAACACATACTACTGCGGCTACTACTAACACTACTACTACTAGTGCTGCTACTACAGCTATTTCAGATGCTTCTGAGGAAGAGTATGATGAAGAAGAACATCTTGTAGAGGAAGAAGAACTAGATGATGTCATTGAAATTGAAACCAAAAGTGTTGTAAAGCCTACGGGAAAAGTTCCCACAAAGGGCAAGAATACACCATCAAAGAAAACCGCTTCACGAGTTGATGATACGTATGAAGAGGAAGAGAATGATATCAATGAGTTGGAAGAGGAGTCTCATGTTAAAGCCCATAGGAACTCCAAAAGAAACAATCATGAAGAAAAGTGGGAGGAAGATGTAGACGAATATGAAGAGGAAATAGTCTCTACAGGAAGGCGTGAGAAAAAACCCACACGATTGAAACATGAAGGAGTCACTTCTTCTTCTTCTTCTTCTGCTACTACTACTACTACGCGTAACCAACACGATATGGATGAGAATGATAACAACAACAACAACAACAACAGTAGAAATCACAAGAAGAATAACATAGATGCCAAACAACTTTCTGATAGGGAAGAATATGAAGAGTATGATGATGATGATGATCAGGGTCAATATGAAGAGGAGGTGATACCCGTACGGCGTTCCAAAGCCAACAAGAAAAAACAACATCAACAACAAAATATATCATCATCAAATTCAGAATCTCCATCAGCGCGTCGTAACAAGAATAGTCAACCGGTAAAACCTGTTAAACATGACAGTTGGGATAATGAGACCAAAATTGAATATGATTATGACCAGGCTGAAGATGAGATGCAGGATTACCTTGAAGAGAATGAAGAAGAAGAAGATGAACGTCCAAAGAAACGACAATATCATCAACAACAACAACAACAACAACAATCACAAAAAAATAGTAAAGCTATAAAGGGCAGTCGACCACAGCGGCATGCGTCGCGGCGTTAATGCAGAGGAGCAGAAAAGCACCTTTTCAGTATCTCTGTCCTACTTGACTACATCACACGATTGTGTGGACAGCATAGAATGATGAAAATACTCTGTATGAGTAAGTGAGTTTGTGTTTTGTGTGTATGTGTGTGTGTGTGTGAAAGAGAGAAAAAGAAAGGAGGAAATAATGTGAGAAAGGATGAGATAACACGTGTTAAGTGTATTTAATCTCTTCACTTTTTTTTTTCTTCTTCTTCTAATTATTCTAATCTCCAAGGATTATCACATCTTATATATATATATATATTCAATACCATAGAGACGATAAACTCAACGAGCAACAACACGTTTATATACACTCTCAAAAAACAAAAACAAAATAATAATTAAAGAAATTGCTTTATATATATATTATTTGAAAATAGTTTTTTTTTTCTTTTCTTTTTTTTTTTTGCAAAGAATGCGTTTCTGCTCTGGGCGAAATGCTGCTATTGCAGCTTCCTCTGCTATTTTCCTTGTATCCGTGCCTCTGTTTACATGTAGTCATCGCACCCCTCTCCCCTTCTCTCTCCCCTGCTCCTGGCAGCTCAGATCGAATCATTCCACCAATAATAATAAGACTAATACTACTAATACTAATATTAATATTAACAACAAGGGCAGTTACATGACACACTGTGCCTCTGCTGCAGAGGCGGATGGTTCAAAAGATATTGGCGACACGGCATGGCGTGCAAAGCTCACACCGCAGGAATATCATATTCTCCGCGAGAAGGGCACAGACCCGCGCTTCATGGCATTAACAGATCACTTTGAACCGGGTGAGTACCACTGCGCCGGCTGCGGATCGCTGCTGTACACATCAGCCATGAAATTTCACTGCGGCTGCGGCTGGCCGGCATTCAGCGACTGCGTGCCGCTCGCCGTGCGGGAAGCCGCCGATGCCGACGGACGCCGCACTGAAATTCTCTGCAATGCCTGCGGTGGACATCTTGGACACATCTTCCGTGGAGAAGGATGGGGCCGCAGCGAGGCAGATGAGCGGCATTGTGTGAACAGCACCTCCCTGCGCTTTCACCGTGCAGAGTAGAGGGATAAACCAATAAAGAAGGGGAATGGAGAGGTGGGTGAATGAATAGTGATTGAAGGCGTATATATATATATATATTTATATTGTTTATTTATTTATATGCGTGATGGTGTTGGGTAAGGGAGTTGTATTGCTATGATGCGAGATATACTCTTGCGGTGCATTTAACTCCTTCCTTTTTTTTGTGTTTTCACCCCCTCTCACACTTAGTTATTCTTAGTTCCCATTGTCGTATACACACTTATTGTGTACTTCTTTTTTTATTTATTCCGGTGAAGGGTGTTTTATTTCCTTTTTTGTTTTGTTGTTGTTGGATGTTTTGTTTTGGTTTTTTACTGTATGTTTTTAACCATCCTATTATTTGTTTATTCTTTCTTCAAATATCTTTTTTATTCACTTACACACATATACACACACAATTATATATATATTTACACGAGTACCCATTAAAGTAAGTTAAAATCGTGTATAACGTGGGAGGGGACATTAAAAAAAAAAAAAGAGTAAGAAAAAGTGTATTGTTTTATATTTCTTTTTTAAAAAGACAAAAAAGATTGTTTTTTTTTTTTTTTTCTTAGTTAATAGAGTTTCCTACGATGGCGGACTTAAACAGTATGATTGAGGCGCTATACGGGGGAAGGCTCATCACGGAGCGGCAGGTGGCACAACTGTGTGATCGTTGTAAAGATCTTTTCCTTGAAGAAGGAAATATTGAAGTTGTTTACGCTCCTGTTACTTTGTGTGGCGATATTCACGGTCAGTTCTTTGATATGTTGGAGCTTTTCCGTCATGGTGGTCGTGTACCAGATACTAGCTATGTCTTTATGGGTGATTATGTGGATCGTGGTTATCACAGTGTGGAGACATTATTGTTACTACTACTATTGAAGGTTCGGTATCCAGATCGTATTACACTTCTGCGTGGAAATCACGAATCTCGACAAATTACACAAGTCTACGGTTTCTATGATGAATGCTACCGTAAGTATGGCAGTGCGAATGTATGGCGTTTATGCACAGAACTTTTTGACTATATGCCACTTTCAGCTGTGGTAGAAGATGATGTCTTTTGTGTTCATGGTGGTTTAAGTCCACAGATTGAAGTTCTTGATGAGATTCGTGTGCTGGATCGTAAACAGGAGGTACCGCACGATGGTGCGATGAGTGATCTTCTCTGGTCTGATCCTGAAGATATGGATGGCTGGGGTGTTAGTCCACGTGGGGCGGGATTTATTTTTGGCGGCGATGTGACGAAAGCCTTTAATCACAAGAACGGCCTCAGTCTCATTGCCCGCGCCCATCAACTCGTGTTTGAGGGGTATAAATCCATGTTTGATGATAACTGCTGTACAGTGTGGTCAGCACCGAATTACTGCTACCGCTGCGGCAACGTGGCGTCCATTATGAAGATAGGCGAACACTCAAGAAC